CCACCTTGCTGGACCCCAATAACCTACCATTCCCTTGGCTCCTTTCCCTGGCCTCTGCTCATTTCCATCCGTCTATTAAGCCTGGTGTCTCTTTCCCCCATTTCCAACACACTCTCACTCGAGATGCTCACTTTTCAATTTGTCGGACATGCGAAGAAATTCCATTTCCAACAACCTACAGTCCGTCTGCCTGTGTGTGCTCACCCGTGTCCTTGCATGCTGCAGCCACTCCCAGCTTGACCCCCATCATCATCTTTTTGGTCTCCCTCCTGGACTTCTGGCCTGGAAACTCACATCCTGTTTATTTTCTTATCTTCAATGCATTATTACAAGTGGCATCAGGCTATGCCATGGCCACTATAGTTGGTGGTCGGGACACAGCGAGTGGACAGCACAGGGTCATTTCAGGCCTGGAGATCAGACAGTCAAGGAGGCATTGGAGAAAGACCTGGTCCCTTGCCTTTTTTTTTTCTCTGCCTTTCATTCTTTTATCTGTCTGTCTTTTATGCACATTTGTTTATTTATCTATTTGTTTATTTATTTTTGATGGAATAACCATGAGATGGGCTGGAGTGATAGCACAGCAGTAGGGCGTTTACCTTGTATGCGGCCGACCTGGCCGACCCGAGTTTGATTCTTTCGCCCCTCTCGGAGAGCCCGGCAAGCTACCAAAAGTATCTTGCCCGCACGGCAAAACACTGGACTGAGCCTCCAGTTCAGTCCAAAGAACCTCCAGTACTGCTCAGTTCATTGCTGAAAATCTCGACACCTGCATGGTATTAGCACACAGGGGCCTGGGAGACTGGGAACTCAGCCACTTCTTTGCACTGCCTTCTGTACCTCACCTGTCAACTGAGCACATAGATGTTTTCCCGAAGGTGTGCTCCGCCAAATAGGGGGTCTTCTACCTATCAGGGTCTACAGGGGAGCTCGGGTCTCTACATGCATATGGGTTGTAGTTTGGTGGAAATGATGCAGTTGTGTTCACTGGGGACAGACGGTCCATGGTCCTCCCGTTGTTCATCGATTTGCTCGAACGGGCCCAGTAATGTCTCCATCATGAGACTTGTTGTTACTGTGTTTGGCATATCGAATACGTCATGGGTAGCTTGTCAGGCTCTGCTGTGCGAGTGAGATACTCTTGGTAGCTTGCCGGGCTCTCCGAGAGGGGCGGAGGAATCGAACTCGGGTCGGCCATGTTGGCTGCGTGTAAGGCAAACGCCCTACTGCTGTGCTATCGCTCCAGCCCAGGGACAAAGTGATGGATTTAGGGCCAGAGTAATAGTACATCAGGCAGGTCGTTTGCCTTGCACATCGCCCACCTGGGTTCTATCCTCATCATCCCATATGGTCCCCCAAGCACCATCAAGAGTGATTCCTGGGGCTGGAGTGATAGTACAGCCAGTAGGGTGTTTGCCTTGCACGTGACTGACCCAGGCTCGATTCCCAGTATCCCATATGGTCCCCCAAGCACTGTCAGGAGTAATTCCTGAGTGCAAAGCCAGGAGTAACCCCTGAGCATCACTGAGTGTGACCCAAAAAAGACAAAAAAAAAATAAAAGGTGAATCTTGAGTGCAGAGCCAGGAGTAACCCTTGAGTATCACCAGGTGTGACCTCCAAAGCCAACTAAAACCAAAAAAAAAAAAAAAGTAAAAATACTGATGGATGGAAAGGGACAGTCCAAGGATAGTGGACATGTCTGCCCCACTTGCGTAAGAGAAAGTGGGACAGGCCACACTTCCCACCTTGTCCAGGCCCCCAGTCCCTTCCAGCTGGGGACTCTGTGCCTCCAAGGTCTTACCACCTGTGCCCCCTTGGGTGAATAGTAACTGGTGGAACATAAGCGTAGGCCAAAGTCAATTCCCAGAAGAGATTTCATTGGGATGGAGCGATAGTATAGCAGGTAGGGCATTTGCCTTGCATGCATCGACCCAGGTTCGATCGCCAGCATCCCATATGGTCCTCTGATTACCGCCAGGAGTAATTCCTGAGTGCAGAGCGAGGAGTAACCCCTGAGCATCACCAGGTGTGACTCAAAAAGCAAACAAAAAAAAGAGAGAGATTTCACATTGCAGCCAGCTGCTGTTCCCGCGTGGGGTGGACACAAATGTTTGAATGATGAATCTGAGACCCCAGCCTGGTGGTACCAGCCTGGGGGACTTCATGGAACTGGCCTGGGGGTCGCATCTGACTGACCCTGCATTCCTTGGTGGGGCTCAAAAATGGGGTACTGACATCCCCCAAGGAGGGCAAGATTTTTTGACTCTGGGGTGACTTGAGGGTCAATCAGGGACCCCCGTGTGTCCTGCAGGAAGACCCTGATTCATGGTCTTTGGCCCTCTGAGGGGCCTCTCCCCGACCTCTGGGGGCCTGGCAGGGCATCTCGTGAGATGAATGTCTAGTTGCTCTCTAGCATCAGGTTTTACTTCTCTAGGGGATGTTAACTTAGTGGAGCGGATTTCTCCATCCACTCAGGATGACTTGGTGATTTTCGGGGCATAGGGTATTGAGTGAGAGAGTTCACTGTGGTGTCATGTGGCCATGCATGCGTGCTCCTCACCTTCATCTTTGGAACATTCTGGAGGGGCAGGTGTGGCTCGACTGTGACTTCTGGGGAGCAGCTGGAGGTTGCCTGGGCCGGGGGTAGTGCCCTGAAAGGTCTCTGAACACCGGCCAGGAACCGCTCTAGCCCTGCCCTGCTGTGTGGGAACCGGGGCACTCTGGAAGGGCCTCGTCCTCCCCTCAGAGGCGCTGGGCTGCCAAATGTCTCCCACACACCTCACCAGAAAGCCCCTGGCTCCTCTCCCAGAGGTCTCATGGCTGACCTCCTGAGGTGTGAGAGGGAGGAAAGGAATCTGCGGGCGGGTGAACCTTCCTGCTTTCTGAGAAATAGCGCAGGCCGCCCACCCGCACCTGCTGGGCCTTCTTCCCTGATCTCTCATGAGCCAGGGTCCCAGCACTCTCCCCAACTCCGCCTGCTGAGGCCAGGGTGGAGCCTGGACTCATCTCCATGCCTGATGTAACAGACTCTCACACACTGAGAGCCTAGAAACCACGGAAGCTCCTTCTTCCCATTACTGAGGTGACAAACGTGAAATCAGGGTGTTGATGGGGCCACGTTGTCTCCTTCCTGGACTTGTCTGGCTTCTATGGCTGCCGCCATCTTGGGCACAGGTTGGTTTACAGCCACCGTCACTTCCGGTGTCTTTGTCTTCCCTCTTCTGTGTCTCCTTTTCCTCTCAGGACACCTGCCATCTGGGATTAAGGGTCTTTCCACTGCAGGAGGGCGGTTTTTTTTCTTACATTTTTAAAATAGTAGGTACAGTATCTGAGGGAAACGTTACAGAAATTCCAACTTTAAAGGTTTCCTCCATCATATTTGAATCATGAGTTTTGTAGGGTAATATTTTTTTTATTTGTTTTGGGGTTATACCTGGTGGTGCTCTGGACTTATTCCTGGTTCTGCACTTAGAGATCACTCCTGGTTTGGCCTCAGAGATTCCTGGCTGAGTCTGGGGTACCATATGGGGTGCCAGAGATTAAACTCAGGTTGGCTGCACACATGGCAAATGTCGTACCCTCTGTATCATCTCTCTGGCCTCAAGGTAACATATTATTTACCGGAAATTTTATACTATTATAATAATATAAGATGAAAAAAATTATGGCATCAGAATTGCAGAATTTTACTCCCCTAGTCTGCCCAATTTCTGCTGAGAAATCTGATGATAGCCTTATTTGGTATCTTTGTATATTATATATTTCAAGCTATTGGTCTTTAATTTTTTTAAGTTATGGCTATTGATAATTTAATAATAGTGTGGCTTGGATATGTCTTGTTGCATTTAGGAAACTAGGTATTCTAAGATCTAGTTATTCTTGCAGGAGGGCTTCTTCTGAACTATTTTTCCTCTGCAGTGGAGGTTGCCTGGGCTGGGGGTAGTGCCCTGAAAGGCCCTTTCCACAGAGAGCCTCATTCTCAAGTTCCCTGTGGGCGTGAATTGTGTGAGAACCCTATTTGACACAGCCCCACCATCCACCCTTCGCCCTCTCTTCAGAGAAGGGCCCCGTGTGTTGGCTTGCAGACCCAGGAAATGTTCCCTCCAGTGGAAGGGAATCCCACTTCCTCCCCAAGGGCCTGGTCTCCAGAGTGCCTGGGTCTCTTTCAGGATGGGCCTCTCCACGCCTGGGGATTGCACTTTGTGGCATCTGCCCCAAGGGTATAGGAAACTTTATTTTGAAAAGACGTTTGCACACCTATATTTATTGAAGCTCTGATCACAATAGTCAAAATCAGGAAACAACCCAAGTGTCTAGAAACTGGATAAACAAACTATGATACATATACACAATGAAAATAAGAAAAGGTGAAATAATGCAATTTGCTGCTGTGTGGGTGAAACTGGAGACTATAAAGCCATGAAGTGAGTTAGGAGATACAGAATGATCAGCGGGTAGGGCGTTCGCCTTACAAGCGGCCAACATAGCCGACCCGAGTTCGATTCCTCCGCCCCTCTCGGAGAGCCTGGCAAGCTACCGAGAGTATTCGATATGCCAGACACAGTAACAACAAAGTCTCCAATGGAGACGTTACTGGGCCCGCTCGAGCAAATCGACGATCAACGGGAGGGCCTATACTCCTCCTATACTCCTCTCTGTATGATATGTGGGATATAAAAAAAATCACAAGATGCCCTCACTAATTCTTCCCTGAACTTGTGGACTTCTGATCCATCTCTGAGTCCTTCCTGAAGGGCAAGAACTCTCTGAGCATCCTTCCAGGACTAAAATTTCAGCCCACACAGGAGAACTGGCCTGTTTTGGCCATTGCCCCTCTGTTCCCCTCCAGTCTGGGCCCTGTTGGGCATCTTTACATAGGCTAAGCAAGGGCTCACTCTCTGGCCCTTTTCCCAGGGGGAAGCTGAAGTCCTACAGCTCCAGAGGCTGTGAAGGTGTGCGAGGTCCTGGGTCCCTTATAACCCGGCTGAATATTTTCCAGGTTACATAACCAAACTCCTGCAGAACCACACCGCGTACGCCTGTGACGGCGACCACTTGAACCTCCAGTGCCCTCGGCATTCTACGATAAGTGTCCAATCGGCATTTTATGGGCAAGATTACCAAATGTGTAGTACCCAGAAGCCTGCCTCCCAAAGGGAAGACGGCTTAACCTGCGTGGCACCCACTACATTGCAGGTATTGTCTCTCCCTGATGTAAGTGGGGGGAATGGTTTGTGTGTGTGATTGTGTGTGTGTGTGTGTGTGTGTGTGTGTATGCACACACACAAGTGCTAGTAGCGATCTAGTTCAGCTATCAGAAAGAAGCATGGTATCTCACAGGTATACAAGCCACACATCTTGCAGGCGAGCTGTTGTTAGCTTCTCCAAGGACCCTTCCCCACAAATGTTTCTGTCCCCTAGACACACGGGCAGTAGGCGTTTACCCATGGGCGTGCTACCCCAGAAACTCAAGTCAGGCTCCCTTACCCCATCAATCCCTGCAAATTAGGGGGCACTGTCGTTCCTTTGGGAGTCACTCCAAGGCTCAATCCAGGAGCCTGAGACAGGCTTTTCTTCTTCGGCTTTCTAGAACATGCTAACATGTATGTACAATGGCCTTCAGTTTCTTTATGATTTGTTTCTCCGGGTACATGGATTGCGTTACTCTCACTTGAAGCTCATTAGCCTCTGCCGAGTCATCCTTTGACTGGGTAGTGGACAGGAACGGGGGCTGTGGTGTCTCAAGAAATAGTTGGTAGAGGAAGACCAACGTTACCAAGGCCAGAAGGGGAATCACCATTTCCATGATGGTTTTTGGCGACTCCTGACTTTTTGGTTTTCCGAGCAATGTTATGTCCCATGATGCCCTACACTAATTGATGTGTATTTAGTTGGCTCAGAGAGATAATCCAGTGGCCCTGAATTTTGCTGATGCCTCCACAGTGCCATATAAATATATTGAAATATTAATTTTAATAACGAATTAAAGTTAAAGTCAGGTTGATGAAAGCGAGAATATGTCTGGATGCGGGGGGGGGGGGCACTTGGCTGCCAGTTTGATTTTGTCACACTGAAGAGAGTTGCCTCAGTGGATTCAGGAGAAAGGGAATTTCTTGGATTTGATTGTCTCTTAAGCCCCCCTCCCAGACACAGAGAACCAACTCACACGCAAAAGGAGAGTTTCCATTTTTTCCACAGTACTCACCACTTCTGGCCTAAGTCTCATGATATCTGGGCAGTCATGTGCTTAGTCATGTGATTGGCCACTCATTTGGCCACCAAAAGAATGCTTCAGTGGGGCTGGAGAGATAGCACAGCGGGTAGGGCGTTTGCCTTGCACGTGGCCAACCCAGGTTTGATCTCCAGCATCCCATATGGTCCCCTGAGCACCGCTAGGAGTAACTCCTGAGTGCAGAGCCAGGAGTAACCCCGTGCATCGCCGGGTGTGACCCAAGAATGTGTGTGCCACCGCAGGGGGAGACACCAGGTTTTGCCCCCCAAAGGCTCAGCAGTGCTTTCCCTGGTGTGCCCACCTCCTGCCTCCCCCTGGGGAAGCTGCCATTTCCTCAGTCAGGTCCTTGGAGGTCTGTCCCCTTCCTCACCCCCACTGGCCTGCCCATCCATGGGGGCACTGGGCTGTCTGCAGCACCCTAGACAAAAGAAAGTTCCACCCGGGTGCCAAAGGTGGAATTTCACGTGAAAGTGAGAATGCTGACCCCCCCCCCCCCCCCCACTCATCACCACCACCAATGCTCCAGAGTCTGGGTTCTCGTCTCCACCCTAACATTGGCACCAAGGCTGCTGCTGGCAAGATCCCAGGGCAAAGAGGCGATTCACCAAAGCCGACCGACAAGTTAGCATCTGCGAACATGAACCTGGTGATGTTCGGCGGCTGGTTTGCCAGAAACATCTCCCCCGCGCCGCTCTTTCATCCAGAGATCAAGAGTCTTTGCTTGGTGCCTTTTAACACTCTGCATTCGGGAGCTCAGACAAGGCGCTGCCAGGGGCAAGATTGCCACCCCCAGGGGGAGCAGGTTGTTGTCTGAACAGGAGCTCAGCGGATCCAGCCCAGCACTGCTGGGCATGGGGCACCCTCTCTTGGAAACTTTCAGGGGCCACGTGGCTTGGAGGACAGACCCACCTTGGGTGCACCTTAGGGGGTGTGGAGCCCCTCTCAGGACGAATTCTTATGTGAAGGTCTGGGGTCATGAGAATGAGCACTGTCATAGGAGGAGTGCTCCCTAACTGAAGGCACGTCCACTGGGCCCCTGAGGTGGTGGGGTGATTCCTTCTCTCATTCCTGTGAGCCCGTGTGAGGGAGTGCGTTTGGAAGTTCAGCCCAAGAAATTTACTGTGCTTGGTGCTCCTTTGGTGGAAAATGCAGGGCCTCTGTCTTGGGTTCGAGGCAAGACTTGATTCCTTTGAGAGTCAGGAGGAAAAACAATGTGTACCTTTCTGTGTAGCTGCAGGTGGGACGGCTGGGAGCCTTGGCAGAACAGATTCATGCACAGAATGAGATGCCCAGAGAGAAAAATCAGGGGGCATGGGGGGGATGAAAGAGAGAGAGGGGAGAGGGAAGGAGGGAGGAAGGGAGGGAGGGAGAGAGGAGAGTCTTAAATCAGTGAGGGATATTGGGATTTGGTTGGTGGACATAGCATAGTAATTTTGCAGAATATTAATATTTTAGTGTTTTGCAGAGGTGTAAGATTGTACCCCTTAAATAAACCAGTCTTATCAATCTTACAAGGCTTTTAAGTCTCATAAGCCAAGGTACCATCAGAAAAATCAGTAAGTAGCACTGGAGAGATAGTCCATGGGTAAAGGCACTTGCTTTGCATCCCTTTGACCTAGATTCAAACTCCCAGCTCCACATATGGTACCCCGAGCAACAACAGGGCTCATTCCTGAGCACAAAGGCAGGAGTCATCCCCAGATGTGGCAATAGTAATAAGAAAATAAAAAGTCAATACATAAAATCTGATGCAACTGTAATGGATCTCATTGTGACTGGACAGTACCCGCTGTCTCTTACAAATATGTGCTGGGTCCCCAGAATTCCCAGGCAAAATAAAAGCAGGTCTGCCGTCTAGCCAACCATCGCCAGTCCTAAAGTCTAACCAATCATAAACGACACACTGAGGAATGGGCGGAGCTACCTGCATTTGCGCTTTGGTGCCTCAGAGAAGACCCAGTTTTCCTGAGCGAGTGCAGAGAGAGAGCAGTGAGGAACGCCCACGTTTCATCAAATGTGAAAGCCTCAGGAAGACAAAGAGTAAATTCTTACCTAACAGTGCCTTTGGCGGAGAATTGGTCCATGGGGGCAGGAGGGGACCCTTTTTATGGGTTGGCAAGAACAGAAACTTCATTTTAGATCTTGATTGCTTGTCTGGTCCAAGTGGGGGGATCCTAGACCTTCTCCTAACATTGAGCTCTCCTGGGTCCTGGATGGATCGGTTCCCCCCACCCTTTAAAAAAAAATCACAGCATTTTTTAAAATTTTATTTTATTTTTTGCTTTTTGGGTCACTCCCAGCAATGCACAGGGGTTACTCCTGGCCCATGCACTCAGGAATTACTCCTGACGGTGCTTGGGGGACCATATGGGATGCTGAGAATTGAACGAACCTGGGTCGGCCGCGTGCGACGCAAATGCCCTACCCACTGTGCTGTTGCTCCAGCCCTGATTGGTCGTTTTTAAGGACCAGACACTGTGGCACTGTGACTGTAACGGGAACCTGGATGATCCCTCTCAGTTTTGAAGCCAGGACACCCCCTCCTGAAGAGAAACCTCCACATCCCTTCTACTCCATCCCCTCCATGCTGAAGGGCTCTGGTTTAATATGATCATCAGTTTGCAGCTCCCACCCCCACCACACCCCCCTGTGATGTTTTTGTTAAAGAGTTGAAACTACTGTTTGGGGATGGAGAGATGGTACTATTGGGAGGAGCTGATCTTGGTTCAATGCTTGGCATCACATATGGTCCCCTGAGCCCCTCCAGGGGTTCACTTATATGCACAGAGCCAGGAATGGCCCCTAGGCACCACTGGGTCTGGCCTCAGAACCCCTCACCCCCTTCTGCCCCCTCCCGCCAAACACAAACACACACACACAAACACACACAACCAAAGTGGTGAGCCGGAGGCAGTTTGGAGGCTGCTTATCTGGAGGGTACCCGGGGAAAGACGGGCAATAAAGGGTCCAAGGCTTTCCCCTGCTTGTGCTTCCATCTTAGACAAAGGTCACCCAGTGTCCGGGTTCAGTCTGGGACCCCAGGTCCCCGTGTCCCCGGCTGCCAGGTATTGGGGCTCGCCGCGCTCTCTGTGGTTTTCAAGCCTGTCCCTTTTCTGCCCTCCTTTTAGAAGGTGCTGGACGAATGCCAGAACCAGCGGGCCTGCCACCTCCTGGTCAATAGCCGAGTTTTTGGACCTGACCTTTGTCCAGGAAGCAGTAAATACCTCCTGGTCTCCTTTAAATGCCAACCTAGTAAGTAACTTCCGGGGCAGGGGAGGCAGCATGTCTGGGCCGTGGGCTCTCGTTTCCTTGCTCACCCTGGGGAACAGCCTCTGCCAGCGGGCATGGGTCCAACTTTGAAATTCTTAGGATGAGGAATGTTGGGGCCCCACCCTACCCACACCCAGCATTGCTGGGGGCCCCCTGCAGTCACATCCTGCGATGCTAGGGGAGCCAATGTAGTGTCAGGATTGAATTCTGCCCTTCCCACATACCAGGCCTGTGCTCTGCCACTGAAACCATCCCCTGAAACCCCAGTCCCGTGCCCACTTTTAGTGTGTGTGTGTGCGCGTGTGTGCGTGTGTGTGTGTATGTGTGTGTGTGTGTTTAAAGCTTTGAAACTACCATTTGGGGCTGAAGAGTTGGTACTGTTGGTAGTGTGTGTGCCTACAGCTGACCTTGGTTCAATCCTTGGTATCACATATGGTCCCCTGAGCCCTGCCAAGGGTTCACTTATATGCACGAAGCCAGGAATAGCCCCTAAACACCACTGGGTCTGGCCTCAGAACCCCTCTCCTCCAACCAAAAAAAAAACATAAAAAACCTGAATGTTATGTGCGCGCGCACACACACACACACACACACACACACACACACACACATTGGGGGGGGAGGGGTTGAGGAGAGAGAGTTGGAGGCTTTTGGCCACACTCAGATATTAGGGTTAGGATTAGGGTTAGGGTTAGGGTTAGGGCTAGGGTTAGGGTTAGGGGTTAGGGGTTAGGATTAGGTTTAGAGTTAGGGTTAGCGTTAGGGTTAGGGTTAGGGGTTAGGGTAAGGGTTAGGGTTAGGGTTAAGGGTTAGGGTTAGGGTTAAGGGTTAGGGTTAGGGATAAGATTAGAGGTTAAGGTTAGGGTTAGGGGTTAGGGTTAGGATTAGAGTTAGGGTTTGAATTAGGGTTTGGATTATTGTTAGGACTCCCAAAAAAGCAAAGCAAAAACAAACTAAAAATGCCAGGATTAATTCTGACATATAACTCTCTCCGAAACCCCCCCCCCGAGTGTGTGTGTGTGTGTGTGTGTGTGTGTGTGTGTGTGTGCGTGAGTGTACATATCTATATTCTTCCTACAGATCCTCTATTCTATTCTATTTTATGTTATTGGGTTTGATCTATACTGAATGAAGTGGGGTCCATGCTCTGACACGCGGATGGAACAGGAGTTCGCCCACGGAAGGCTGGTTTGTGCTGAGCACCACGGGGGCCTAAGTGATCTGAGGTGATCAGTGCTGGGGGAAAGATGACGGAAAGATGCCAAGGAGGCTGTGACCCAGCTTCAAATCCCCAGCACCACATATGGTTCCTGGAGTGCCCCCAGGGGTCATTCTAGAGCACTGAGCCAGGAAGGGTCCCTGACTGCCAATGGGTGTGCCCCCCAAAAAAACAAAAGAAAAAGAAGAAGCCTTAGAGCTCTAGAGATAGTTCAGGGCTAAAGACACTTCCTTGCACACGGCTGACTCCTATCTGGATCCTCCATAGAGTTCTCCGAGCCCTGTGGGACTGATCTCTGAGCTCAGAGCCATGAGGAAGCCCTGAGTAGCTCTGTTTTTGGTTAGTTTTCGTTGTTGTTGTTTGGTTGGGTTTTTTGCTTTGTTTTGTTTTGTTTTGCTTTTTCGGTCACACCAGGTGAGTAAGCCCTGAGTATCTCTGTTTTTGTTGTTTTGTTTTGTTTTGTTTAGTGTTTGTTTTTTTTTCGGGGGGGGGTGTCACATCAGTATCTCTGGGTTTTGTTTGTTTGTTTGTTTTGTTTTTGTTTTTGCTTTTTTGCTTTATGGGTCACACTAGGGGTTACTCCTAACTGCACTCAGGAATTACTTCTAGCATTGTTTTGTTTGTTTGTTTTTGCTTTGCTTTTTGGGAGCCCTGGGTATCTCTGGATGTGGCCAACAGCCCCCAACTCTCTCCAAATCCCCCGGAGTAACCAGATCTGCCTGCCCTAGGGGTCCTGGCTTCATAGTAACCCCACACATGGATGCAGGATTCCAAGCGGTGTCCCAAAATGGGCCCTGGGTGCTGGCATCGTCAGAGCGGATGCATCTGAGCTGGGACTTGAGGTTTTCTGGTGGTGCGGGCAGAGCAGGGTGGGCCCTGGGCGCTGTTGGAGCCACCGAGCACACCTGCGAGGTCGTGGGAGCAGCCGGCACAGGTGTGTAGGGGCAGCTGGGCCTTGTCCGGGAGGAGCACTGGAGCAGGAGGGTGTGGGAAAGGGCCCTCTGTGGGCGCTCCCAGCTGCTCCAGGAAGGCAGTAAACCAGGTGGCTTATCAAAGCGGATCTCCGGGCTTCGGAGTCCAAGGTCGGGTACCAGCCGGCTTGATAGCTAAGAACGCACCTGGGGACAGAGTCAGAGAGCAGTGTGTGCCGGGAGGGGGCAAGGGGGCGGGAATTGGCTCTGCCCCAGCCCTGCCCCCCAGCTAGGGGCGCTCATAGCACCTTGAGCCTTCCCTCCCCTCACGGGGAGCAGAGACCCCCACACGCCACATCTGATGAGAGGGGCCTCCCCAGGGGTGGTGAAACATGCATGGGGGTGATGCCTGTCTCTCAGCCCTCTCACCTCCTGTGACTCTTTTCCTCTCTCCGGCTCCATCTCTGCCCAGATGCAGCAAACCCTGGGAGTGTGGGGTTTGCAGATCAGGGCCTCTTGATTTGTTTTCGGAGAATTGGTGTGTGTGTGTGTGTGTGTGTGTGTGTGTGTGTGTGTGTGTGTGTGTGTGTGTGTTTTGGGGCCGCACCCAGAGATGCTCAGGGCTTAGTCCTGGCTCTGCACTCACAGTCACTCTGCTCTCGTGGCTCCTGGCGATGCTGGGGGGCAGGGAAGGGGGCCATAGCAGGTGCCTGGATCGAATAGAACCTGGGTGCGTGCAAGACAAGCATCTTCCCCACTATGCTATTGCTCCAGCCCCTCTGGGGAAGTATTTTACCAGCACACTGGCCTAGAACATTCCTTCAGCACCGCCCCCCCTCCCCCGTCCAGTTTGCAACATGCAGCATTTCCTCCCCCCAGTCTCAGGCCCTGGGGTTTCCAATCACTGAATCCAGACCACTGGGTCTGGGTTTGTCTCTGCGTATCTGCGGGGCTAGTCAGTGCCTGTGGGGTCTTGAATTAGCATAAGGCAAATCTGTTAGCTGGGAAAGATTATGCTCCTCTGCCTAGGTTCTCAGAAGGCACCTGAACAGATGGAGCAGAATAGAAACTGCTCTATACCTGGGCTGCAGCCAGAGCACAGGGGGTAGGGGCTTGGCCTTGCACAGGGCCAACCTGAGTTCGATCCCCGGCACCACATATGGTTCCCTGAGCCCTGCCAGGAGTGATCCCTGAGCACAGAGCCAGGAGTAAGCCCTGAGCACTGCTGGGTGTCTCCCCTTAGCCCACACTCAGAAAAAAAAAAGCCAAAAAAACCCTAAAGCAAGGCCTGAGATAGTACAGAGGGTAGGGCACTTGCCATTGTGCAGCCGACCCAGGTTCAATCCCCAACATCCTATGTACTCCCATGAGCACCATCAGGAGTGATTCCTGAGTGCAGAGCCAGGAGTAAGCCCTGAGCATCACTGAGTGCACCCCCCCTCACCCCAAAAAGAAACAAAACCACTAACAAGCAAAAATCAAGCAAAAATGCTGGAAACTGTCCAGAATGACTCAGTGCACTGCTGTTAGAGCGACAAACAGATCCAGGCTGTTTGCTGCTTTGATTGTTCCCAATGATCGCCAAGGGATGGAAGGTGGGAGTGATGGGGGGACTTCGGTCTGCCTTAAGAAAGGGGGTGCAGCCTAGGCTGGGTGCTCCTTGTCTAGCGCTCTTTGAAAAACATCGTAAACCAGGTCTCTGTTGGTTATGCTGATAGTGTCACTCCAGGTGTTGCAAATGACATTGGCGCTAACATACCCTGTCCCCTATAAACAGTCACCTGAGATGTGCTGGGGGGAGGGGGGGAGTGTTGGACGGAAGATGGCGGGTTTGCTCCTGTTTGTCTTTGAAGCAGAGCCCAGAGCTCTCCCTACCCAGGTCCACTGCCCTCTCTCCCTGCACTCCCTAACACACAGGCTGTGGAAGAACCGCCTCTGGAAGGTGCTCACCCCTTTCCCAGTCTAAGTCCAAGGAGACCCTACGCTGAAGTGTTGAGTCAGTGACCTATAGTCCTAGGGGGCGCAGTGGCCCCCAGCCCTGAAGGTGACACTCCCAGTCCCCTCACTGCTAGGGGTTGCTTTGCTCATAACCTGGGACCCAGCTGAGCCCTGGCTGCGAATGTCTGTCTCTGCATACCTGTCACTAACACTGGCATCCCGGTTTCATTGATTTCATTTTTTTGTTGTTGTTTTTTTTGGGGGGGGGGGTCACACCCAGCGATGCACAGGGGTTACTCCTGGCTCTGCACTCAGGAATTACTCCTGGTGGTGCTTGGCGGACCATATGGGATGCTGGGGATCGAACCCAGGTCAGTTGCGTGCAAGGCAAATGCCCTACCCACTGTGTTATCACTCCAGCCCCTGTTTCATTTATTTCTTATTTCTTATTTATTTATTTATCTTTTGTGGCCACACCCTGCTGTGCTCAGGGATCTGCCTCCCAACTCTGTGCTCAGGGATCACTTTCGGCAAAGCTTGGGGGAGGGGGAACCCCATGGGGTGTCAGGATTAGCACTGGTATTGGCCATGAGCAGTGCAAATGCCTTATCCTCTGTAACTCTCTCTCTCCTGCTCCTGGAAGGGCTGCAATAGAGAGAGATTGCCTGCTGGTGCCTGGCCTGGCCTGGCTTTAAAAACATCACGGTCACGGTCCTCCCATTGTTCATCGATTTGCTCGAGCGGGCCCAGTTACGTCTCCATCATGAGACTTGTTGTTACTGTGTTTGGCATATCGAATATGTCACGGGTGGCTTGCCAGGCTCTGCCGTGCGGGCGAGATACTCTTGGTAGCTTGCCAGGCTCTCCGAGAGGGGCGGAGGAATCGAACTCGGGTCGGCCATGTTGGCCGCTTG